GCAGTGAAGGACAGGAAGGCCTGGCGCGATATGATTCATGGGGTCACGAAGAGTCAGACACGACTTAATGACTGAACAGCAATAACATGCTCCCTGCAGAGCTTGATAGCACCAGTTAACTCCATAGTAATCAGAGAGTGATCTGACTACAACATGGTACAGATGGTGATGTCCCCCATCTACAGAACATTATATTTACCCTAAGATAAAAACCAGATCTAATGTGTAGTCTCCAATGTGAATGGGGTTCTGGATTATCTGGGACAGATTCATGGCTATCATGGTGGCCATGAATTCTTGGGCTGCCTCGACTCCTTCCCAAGCAAAGGCAAGTTAAAGTTCCCCAGCCCCATAAGCCTAGTGGATTCCATCATCATCCTAGCAACAAGGCTAAACAATTGAGGCATGGATGCCACTGTGCTGCATAGACCACAGCAATTTCAACTTGTCCAGAGTCCAACTTCACAAGTAAGACCTCACATCTGATTATCTGCAGACTAATCCTTTAGGCTAGCAGAGTCACCTGGATGCCAATTGCCACTCCATCTTCCCCACCCTGGGCTGATACCAATCCCCAAACCCAGATAAGCATACCTCCGAAACAAGAGCCCCCTTCTTCATCTATCTAGGTTTCAGTAACATAAACCAGGTCTAACTTCTCAACCATAATAAGAACATTGATGAAGGAAGGTTTAATTATAGGAAGAAATGGAATTCAGAAGTAATAGCCAGAGACCAGGGGCTCTAAGGATCCAGTAATTTGGCTCTCAGTTTGAAAGCAGAGAACCAGGAGTGGGAATTAGTCTCAGGTACCCAACACTCTGTACCCCAAAATGCCCCACTTCATGCAATTTCTCCCTGTCCTATTCTAAGGTGCCAAAAGTCCATCATCTAAGATAACTCAGATCATGATCCCCAAAATAAAATTTCTCCCACTGACATTTTTTTTCCTTTTTAGTCTTATTCCATGAGACCCAGTTCAGTGTAGTGGTTAAGGCATCAGGCTAGAAACTGGGAAACTGTGAATTCTAGTCCTGCCTTAAGCATGAACTCAGTGAGTTTGGGCCAGTCACTCTTTCTCAACCTTAGAAAGGAGGCAATGGCAAACCACTTCTGAAATCTTGCCAAGAACCCTGCAGGGACTGGTCCATGCAGTTGCCAGGAGTCAACATTGACTTGAAGTGACCAGGAAAAAAATATATCCATAGATTGGATAGGTGACCTGAACCTCTAGGTTCCTAACCTTCCTTCCTTGAACTGTTCTGCATGATAGAAAGTTATTTTATACCCAGATGACTGCACAGAAAATGAAACCCAGAATGAATAAAGTCATTTAGTAATTGCACCAGTTGCCACAAAAGCCTCGAATCTTAAGGCAGTCTCTACCGGGTGGCCTCTACTGTAGCTGAATTCCTTCAGCACAAACATCTTAGGGAAACTCCAGGATCACTCCAGTTTGCTCTGGAATACAATAATATCAGTGATATGTAAATATAATGCATATTCAGTACTGAATATTCATCTTCAGATACATGCCATTACTGTGGGGATGCGACATCTGGACAGGAGGCTATAGTTACAGATAATTTTGTCCCTAGTCTCTGAATCTTGCTTGAGAAAGAAACCAGGTAGAGAATCCTGTGAGTAATAAATTTACCTCCTCAGCACAAGTCAGAAGAGATAAGTCAGGTTGTCATCCTCAACAAAATCACTTTTTAAAAATAATTTTATTAGGGTTTACAAGTACAAAGATAAAAGACTAATACAAACTAAAGAAAATATAAAAAGTAAAGAAAAAAAGGAAGTGCAGAGATAGAAAAAAGAAAAGAAAAAGAAAATATATAAAAGATGACTTCCCCCTCTCTCAACTATAAACAATTTCACTAACTTAACATCTTCTCTAGTATTTCAATAAAAAAAGAAAATTCTTCCCATATCTCATCCCTTGTGAATCAGCAAAAGTCTATTAAGAGCTACCAAAAATAATAACATACGTATTTATTTATATTTCAAATTTGTCATCGCCCATTTTAAACATAACCAAAAAAAGCCATTTTGTAATCCAACTTTTCACTTTCTCTAAGAAGTAAAGCAAAGGAAATCTTTCCCCACTTATATACAGATCCTTAAAACCTTGCCATTCAGTCCTGGTCAAAAAGAAATCCCATTGATAGCTACCAGAATCCATAATCAAATAAATTCACTTTGTAAGCCTTCTGTTTACTTCTAAAAAGCTTGATCTTTAATCCTGTTAAATAGTATCCCACAAGTTGATTTTTTATCATTTTCTCTTTGTCTCCTCTCAGAAACAGCTTCGTTGGTTTAACACATTCCTTTTGTAAATCCCAAACAAGAAGGCTTTCCAAGTCATTTTTCTGATTTATTATTTGTATATCCCCTTTAATTATTATAACATCAGTTGGTTTCATTTGTAAATCCATTTTGGCATCTTTTTCCATATCATTCTTATATTCTGGCATTTTTAAATCCATTTGCATCATTCATTCATTCATTCATTCATATAGCCACCCATCTCACACAAAGTGATTCACTTTATCACTTTTATAATCCAGCATTTTCTTAAACTCCAAATCCACATTTAAATCAGACTTAATCTCTGTTTTGTCCAGTAAAATCTGTTGTTCTTCTTTATCCTCTGTTACAGTATCAGACAATCTTGTAAGTAATTTCTGAGTACATTGTAGCAATGGAGGCGAATACATTGTTCCCAAGCAACCTTAATTTCTTGTATAGTCAAATAATATTGCTCCATTGTATTATTGGGTCCCTTCTCCTTTAATTGTAATCATTTGTTCTTTCTGGTTCTCTCTAGACAACTTTCAAGACCCTCTTATCATCTGTTTATTTTCCAGTCAACAAAACTTTCCCATGGGAGGATTTCTTACAATTAATTTCAGAAACTTCATATGTTCTTTCATACATTTTTTAAACACCCGACATGATATATTCTTTCAAATGTATCCCCTTAACTTTCCAAAATCCACATTCAAGTTTCCTTTTTGCTGTTTTGAAAAAGTAAATCTTTTCTTTTCAATCTTTACACTTACATCAAGCTTCTTTCATCCAGGATTGAAGGAGATTCTCCCAGCGTAATAAAACTTGCCCTTTGGAACGTTCGTAACTTCTAAGAAATCATTAAAAAGCAGCTTCCTAAAGTAATTAAGAGAGGAAGTACGCAAATCCAGCATCTCTTTGAAAGGTGCCGAACTGCAGCTTAGGGATAATGTTTTTCCCCTGGCTCCCAGAACTCTGGAGATCGCTATTTTATAATCTCTTTGTAGAGAGATTCTGTATGGAGGAAACTTGTGGGTGATCCTCATCCTGTCCTTAATCTGGAGATGGGTTCTGAGGAGCAGATCCATTCACTAGCTCCTCTTTTTGCTGTGGTCGTCAGCTCCACAAAAGCGGAGCCATCTTCAATCCTCCATTACTGTCCCTGGAAGTCCCAATAAGATCACATCTTGAATTGCAGTTGGTTCCCATTCACTTACCTGGCATCAGCAGAATTACCTTAAACCAAGGGATCTGTCACCAAAGTGACTCATGCTGGCGACTAAACTGGGAAACAGTTTAAGAGCAACCTGCTTGGCTACTTCCTCCACTGTATTATATGCTGCTGTTACAATGGCTGCTTTCAACTTCTCATCTACCTGCCCCTTTGAAGAACATATCTGAAACAACAGCAGACAATAGCTCTAGCATCTGATAAGCAGTCATTTTATTCCTGTTATCTGCCTGACAAGAGAGATGGCATTTTCCTTCATGTACTTCCCCAAAATTATCTTAGCTGTAGCCAAAGAAGTATTCACATTATCCATTAGATTTAAAAAACTAACACAGTTGAGAGGAAATTCTTTCTAGAAAAGAATGAAAAGCCTATGGAAGTGAAATGACAGATTGAGGATTACTATGAAAGTAATGGCAAACCAATTTCATATTACTACTTATATGGATATGTTTATGAAATCAACAGGATTAAATCTTGTCTTGATTAGACTTTACCTTTTATGTACATGTCAACCTATGTACATCAAACATTTGGAACATTTACAGGCTTATGGCGTTTTACATGCCAGCCAAATTCTGAATTTGATTTCATACAATGCTATTAGAGTTCAAAAGAAGTTAGCTTTGTGGGAGCTTTGCAGGGCCACATGCAGCTGAATTCCATAACTTATCTAATATCAACAACAGCAAAAAAAAAAAAAAAAGCTCCTGTCATTCTTCAGGGAAACCTAAGTCCTTTAAGCAACATACTCCAAGCAATTATCACACTGCTCTGATATTCCATCCTAGAACAGACTTTTCTTTATATTCCTATGACTAGGATACACCTTATCTTGACTCATTTTTTAACCAGGCCATTTTTGCTTCCCCCAAATGAATTGATCAAGTCTGCTAGAATAACTCCCTCTCCCAAAGAGGCACTGACAGCCTCCTAGACATACCTACCCACACACCCACACTGTCAATTTGCAGGAGACGGGAAAAGCAGGGATCAAAACTATACATGTTAAAGCTCATGCCAGAGAGCACCCTACCCACCATCAGATTCTGTGAATCTGAGCAACTTTATCAACAAAGTGTTATGCAATTGTATCATGGTGACCAGGTGACAGAATTTCTTGTTTTGCTTACCCAACAGGGACTGAGTAATCATAAACAGGGCTACTGGACAACCACATACCATTCTGATACAGCAAGGGCATTTTGCCATCGTCACTCTAACTGTCCTTGATCAAGTCTACTTTTAGTCTTCCTCTGTTGATATTATAGAAGTAATCTGGCTCCATAATGCACCTGGGATGAACCTTTTTAATAGGTCCTCTCATCCTGTGGAGATAGTGGAAAACTCACCTAGACCAGAAAATGATCTGACCATGACATAGGACTCAGAAAAATGTCCTCCATTTCAAGATTATCCAGCAACTGCTCTGAAACAAAAATGAAATCACCTAATATTTGTCTACCTATATGAACTGGGTCCAAGATTACTTAGGACAAATTCATAGTTGCCATAGAAGCCATGAAATCCTGAGCTATGTCAGATCCCGCCTCTAATAATAACTAGGGGAATTCCAGTATGGCCTGGTGACAAGATCCAGCAGATCAAAAAGGGATCCTAATATTGCTGTTCTCCCCCTACTCCTCCAGCAATTCATCAGTTGGTTGACTGGGAAGCTTCTGGGGAGCAACATACTACTGGAGAGCTGTTTGGTAGGCTGCAAATTCCCATTTTTCCAAGGATAACTAGGAGTGGGGAGGAAGGCTTAGCCTTGTGGCTTTGCTTTGTTTCCCACATCACATATGAAGCAAGTGTCTTGATAAATCTTTGGGAAGAAAGGGCAACACTGCAGCCCCCCTAAAACTCCATGGAATACTGGTCAAAATAGCTGGTTTTCTACTGCCAGTTACTGGGAGAAAATGTGATAATTAGCATGAACTAATAATCAGCCATGAAATAATAATTACTTTGATTTTTAAAATTAAAATAATTAACTCATGTTATTCTGGACTCAAAAGATGTTCAGTGGATACAAGTAAGTGGAAACTGGAATTCAACCTTTTAGGACAATTCTATTCCTCCCTGATGTTAAAAAAAATTATATCTGCTATTATATACTGCATTAAAAAGTATTTGCTCGTATGCTTTTTATTTAAAAAAGAAATCCATGCTTGATGCTGCACAATTTAAATAATTTATAAAAAATAGAAAAATGAATCATTGGTAAGGAGGGGATGGTGGCTGCTTGTTTCTTGAGTGTATATAGCTTGACTGGATACAAGATAAGCATTCAAAACCAAAATAGCTGCACACACTTTTCCAAGTCTGTTATTACAATCCCAGAAGTCTGCAGGGACTTCCCGGCAATCTGTTATTACTACAGTATTCCTCAGACTTTAACAACTAATCTGAAAATATCAATATTGTTATGAAAAGAGAATGCATTAAAATTATGTTAAACAAAACATAAGAATTAGCAGTCAAAATAATAAACCAGAAAGAGCATTACTGTACAACAAACATATTTGATACCATAATGTTTCAATCATATTAAAACAAGAGCTATTGTAAATCCAGTTTTAGGAAAAGCAATGTAACATTTTCTGTAACCCATTTAATTCCTTATATTGATCTGTTTCTTGCTTAATTTATTACATATTTATAACATGAATTTATTTAAATGAGGCTCAATAAACATTCTCAACTCCCATTTACTATAGACCGTCATGCAGCTCTCATTACTTTCAAGAAGCATGGTTGTTATTTTTAATGCTTCTCGTTTCAATGATTTTGAAGTTTAGGAGAAAGAATATAGAGGTAACCTTAGTTCAAACTGCACCGGTAATTTCCTCAAATGAATTATTCAGGATGCTACCGGCAGAACCTGTTAGCTCAGAAAATCTTTACGCATGCGTTCCATCCGTGTGGTTTCTCGGGAGTTTACTCGTAATAAATCACGTGGGTTGGGTTAACCAAACAGGCTAGACTAAAGATGGTGGTTGGCTAATGTGTGGCTCGGTATAACGAACCAACCCCGCCTAATGCCACTGCTTCCAAGGGACTGAGCCTAACTTACCCAACGGCTACTGAAATAGTCTAGCCCTCGGCAAATGAGACGGTCGGCATAAGCAAGAGCAATCTGGACTCCAAAGGAAGTACCGACGCAGTATAATCCATATAAAACGGGACTTCCGGCACTCAATAGGAGAAGAAGCCGCCGCCGGCGCCGGATCTCCTTACCCAATGCTTCGGCAGCCGTACTAGCAAAAGACAGCGGCAATAAGAAAGTTGCCAAAAAGACTGGTGTGCTTGAATGGCGGAGGCGACGCAGCCAGCCGCGGCCAAACGCCGTGAGGGAACTCTTGAACGGGTGCAAAAAGGTGCCGCATAGGACAGCCCACAGTAATGGGCGCAGAAATGCCTCGAGGATGAAATAAATGAGCACTCCCACCCCACAGCATAGTCCCACCAGCACCAGAGCTCCGGTGTTGTAGAAGGCCTGGCGCAGCGGTTTTTCCAAACGTGGCAGTTGCAGAGGAGGCGATGGTGGAGGACGCAGAGGGTCTTGGTCCAGTTCAGATTCTGACAGCGGACTTGAAGAACCGTCACGCTTGCATTTAACCATATCGCTCAGCCAAGACGTTAATGTTACAGTATTGCTGCCTCCTACATCCCGTCATACCCACTTAGAGAAAAGAACCGCGCCAAACGCAGAAAAGCGATGACACCGCACTGAATCCTGGGGAATGTAGTTCCCTATGATAGCCAGTAGGCATTAATAAAGTGTAGTTCTGAGAAACACGGACTGACTTCGGATTTGGCCTTTGCAGAGCCTGTAACGTAGTAACTGCTGCCTGTCATGTACTGTATACATTTGATATCCTTGCTTTATGTATTTAAAACAGCTGACAGTATTTTTTTTCTTTTTCTACTGAAGGCTGAAGACACAGAGTCCCAACCATTTTTGAGGATATTTTATCCATTTGATTAAGCAGTTTTGTCCCATAAAGTATTATTTCACAATATAATTATCATTCAGGACATCCAGGGGCAGGTATAAAATATGAAACATGGTTGACTATATATATATATTTTAACTTTGACAGTAGACACTCAACTATTGTAGTCACAAAACCCTAATTCAAAGTCCCTCATTAATCTCTGGACAGTGCAATGAGGAAAAGAAGTGCTCATATATTTGAAAAACTGTTAAAATATTCTGAAGTTGTCTAAGGTATAAAACAAATGCTACTTCTTTACCAATTAGTGGAGGCCTCCTATCGTTTACTTTGGAAGCCTGGAAAAAGTGGGGGACAAAAGTATGTTTGTGCAGGAGGGATGGGTCTGAAAGAAAATAGATATAGAATTTAAAATACTCTGTATAGGTTAGAGAAATGGGCTGAAAGTTACAACAAAATTTAATAGAGACAAATGCAATAAATAAAATGCACAAATATAGGATAGGAGGGGACTTTGCTTGCAACAGTAGTATGGCTAATGAATGTTTAAGGGTGTTTAGTGATAGACTGGGGATGAGATTAGGGTAACATGGGGGCAAGAAGTAAAATAGGTGTCAGGACATTATTGTGCTGTGGTAAAGTACAAGTGGGAGCAGGGGCATTGTTTCTACACCATTATCCCCCCCCCCCCCAGCATTTTCTTTAGTTAAACCTGTTCCAGTTTGAACATTTAAAAGGTAGCACTCAGAACTGGAGTATCTCAGATTCTGTGTCTGACCAACACAGAATATGTATTTGTTTAATAGATTTATATTTCACTCTTTATTTTCAGGAGCTCAACAAGAACTATTATTTCCCTGATCTACAAACTCTACTTCTGTTGATGGAATCTATAATTGCATTTGCCTTTTTTAGGAGCTGCACAACACTTCTGACTCATATGATTTTCCAAAGTCTTTTTCACAAAAGAACTTTTTCACAAGTACTATTGCCAAGCCAAATATCCCCCTCCTATACCTGGCCATCACACAAGCAATCTCTTCTATGAAGTGAGTAAGAGGGTTCTGTCTTGGTGCCGTTACTATTCAAAGTTTATATAAATTATTTGGTTGCCCACCAAAACAACCCTGATTCCCCTCTGCCAAAGTTACTGCATAAACACACATCAGTGCTCCTGTATGCTGATGATGCAGTTCTATCTCAAAACTCCATTGGCTTGAAACATTTGCTTAAAATAACTTGCTGTTTATTGTAAGGATGAAGAAGCAATAATTAGTCAAAGACAAAAGTACTTGAATTTGCTACTTTTAGAGAATTTAAAGATAGCACCAGTTAGGCTATCTCTAGATTTTAAAAAAAGTTCATGACAGAAGGAGCCTTGAAACCTAAAGGTCAGTAGTAAAAATGTTACTTCTGGAGATTTCACCATGGAAACCATGACACAGTTACATTTGCATATTCATTAACATAAGAGGTTTGGTTACTTTGTGTTAGGGGTCCTTCACTCAGGCATCACATTTGATCAAATATTTATTGTTTTGCAATTGCAAAATAAAATACTGGTTGTTTTCCTACCTTTGTCTGGTTAATTCAGAGAGCCGTTGGGCAACAAATTAATATTTGGAAATTATTTCCATGACAAAATGGCACCTGAGATGGAATGGTCCTTGCTCGTGGTTCTGCCAGACCTGTCTGCAGAACATCCTTGCCAGCACATCTGGTTATTTTGCCTCAGGAGTTTTGCCAAATGCTTGGTCTGCAGCAGCAGCAGCAGCAAGGTAAGTTAAAATAATAGGAAAACAAATCTTGTTTAATTCCAACATAAGGTTTTGCCAAATGCTTGATCTGCAGCAGCAGCAGCAGCAGCAAGGTAAGTTAAAATAGTAGGATACACCAATAGTTTGGTGTATGAGATTGTAAAATAGGTTCTGGTCAGTCAAAAATACCAGCAGGAAGTCCTTTGGACTATATTGCTAAGAATGTTGGGGAAATGGCAGGGACAACAGGTCTCTCATTAAAACATGTGATTAATTTGTGTCAAACTCATTGGCCACATTTTACTTCTGAGGATCCTGAAAGACAATGGCCTCCAGCGGGTTCATTTGACCATGATAAGTTATTCTATCTTTGTGGATTTATAGAATCTACTAAGTCAGGTCAAATAGACTATTGGTATCTATGGGAGAATTTGGCATACAGAAAAAAGACTGATATGGAATTGAAAAGTCATAAATCTACTACTGCTAATTTAGAGAGGAAATTGAAATCTGTGTCTCTGTCTTTATGTCCTTCGGTTAGTAATGTTTGTATAGCTTAACCATCTTATATTACTTCTCTAAATGCACCTGAAGATGATGTCTGCATTCCTCCCTTCTGTCCTGATCATCCTGTTAATCAGCTTGAAATTTCTGTACCTACTTGTCCTCCTACTCTTTCTCCTTGTGCTTCTATTTATCCATCAGAAGAATTAGTCAAACCTACTACTAACTTGACTAATAATATTTACCCAATGATTTTGAGAAGTCAGACCCCTATCCTTCAGTCCCCTCCCTTACCCAAACCTGTAGGTGAATCCCCTATATTAGGATATATGCTAATATATATGCTTTTGCTGCCCAGGATTTAATTTTATGGCAACAATCTACCCCTTGTCTACAAGATGATTTTGAGACAGCCTATAGCAAATTTAGAACTATATTCCAGATGCACAATCCTCCTTGAGCTGATGTGACTCAATTACTAGATGCCCTATTGACTGAAGAAGAAAAGCAAAAAAATCATTACTGAAACAACTAAACAAGATGGAAATTATCCAGCTTTGTCTTGACCTCTTGCTGATCCTGCTTGAGACATTACTACTGTGGTAATGTCTATTGTGGTAATGACTCTATTACAACAACATCATGATTATCTTCTACAGTCTATTCGGCGTGTAGCTACACCAGTTGTAAACTGGTTTAAAGCTGAAGTTTGTTGTCAAATGGCTGATGAACACCCAGCTGAATTTCTAACACACATCTGTAAAACTTTGAGTGTGTATGGGGGCATTGATCCAGAGCAGCCTGATTTGACCCTGATGCCCCAGATATTCATTAGTAAGAAGTAAGAATGCACCTGGATGGCAAGGCAAGTTTTTACCTGAAGTCCTTTCTATTGACACTTGACACTATAATGGCTGTGAATAGAAAGAGCAAAAAGGACTATAAAGGTTGCTTCTGTTCTTGCAGCACTAGTGCAAGCCTCAGCTAGCAAACCTAATACTGTACTTCTAGTCATTTTCCACTTCAATCCCAATCTTTCTCTAAACCCTATCAGATTATTAAATGAGTTGCACCTAAACTCAGGTGTCACTCTTCTCAGCCAAATCCTACTGGCAGTGCAGATACTTGTAATTATTGTGGCCAAAAAAAAAAAAAAACACTGGAAAAGAGTGTCCAGTTTGCCCTCAAGGTTTACAAAATCCTCACACACCAGCATTCCAGGCAGCCTAGGTTCCCAAACATAAGGACCTAAAATTGACTGAGATGAGGCAGGAGACTTCATTGCCACTTCTAATTCTATTGTGTTCTATCTTTACCCTGCTGATTCCCAATTACAGGTAGTCCTTGCTTACCAACAGTAATTGCAACCAGGAGGTCCATCACTAAGTGATACAGTTGTAAAACGTGACATGTGACCATGTCAATTTACAATGGCAGTTCCAGCAGTCCCAGTTGCCATCATTAGGTGAATCTTACATGGTTGCAGCATCCCACAGTCATGTGATTGCCATTTGTGGCCTCCTCCCAGCTTCCCCATTGACTTTGCTTGTTGAAAGCCAGCAGTGAAGGTCGCAAATGGCAATCATGTGACTGTGAGACACTGATATTGTAATTGCAAGCCGGTTTGCCAAGCACCTGAATCGTGATCTGGTTGTCAAGCACCTGAATTGTGATCTATGGGGATGTTGTGATGGCCGCAACTACAAGGACCCACTGTAACTCCCCCTCATTCAGCTCCATCGTGATTTTGAACAATTGCTGAACAAGTGGACATTAAGTGAGGACTACCTGTACCATTAACTATTGGATCTACTACTTATTCTTGTTTGCTTGGCACTGGGGCTACTTTTAGTGCCTTGACTTCTATACCATGCTCTTCTCTTCTGAAACTCTGTCCAGGGTGTGTCAGGCCAAACATAGGTGTTGCCCAGGTCAGACCTACTAAGTATTCAAACTGGGCCCCTCACAGAGGAGTATACCTTCTTAATGTCCCCTGCTTGCCCAACAAATCTTTTGGGAAGAGACCTACTTAAACTTTGGGCTACTATTTTTTGTTCTCCTGATGGTATAATTTTGTCTATTCCTTTATAAAGTGCCCCTGTTCTTCAAGCCTTGTTATATCCAGTTGAATCCTCTGAAATTCCTCCATTGTTAGCTTCTGTGCCTTCAACCCTATGGGCACTAAATTCTACAGATACTGGCTTACTGCTTTCTGCCAATCCAGTAAAGTTTACAACTAAATCTGGACCACCTCCATCTGTTCCTCAATACCCACTCTCCCAAGAGAGGGAATTAGCCCAGTAATTTCAGATTTTTTAAAACATGGGATTTTAATATCTTATACTTCTCCATGTAATACAGTGGTACCTCGGGTTACGAATTTAATCCGTTCCGTGACTGGTCGCAACCTGATTTGTTCGCAA